GGTAAAATACGAAGCGCTACGGCGACCGAAGTCAGGAGATTTGCGGAGTTTGACAGAAGTTGAACCGCATCAGCGCACAAGGAGCGAGCTGTTTTTTTTTCAGTGCTTATAGTTTATGCAAATGAGTCATGTGGTTTTAAGTTTAATTTCTGTAAAGTGTAAACAAATATGTGCAAATCTGTGTTGATAGGGAAGACAGAAACGACGTGTCTGGACGCAAATTATTTCCGATACAGTGACTCATTTCAGTGTAAATGTAACGTTATGTATGAAAATAGAGGAGAGAATTTAACGTTATCGATCTTGCGCCTTATAGTCTGAAAAATACAGTAAAAGTTTTTTCTTTGGGGCCTCAGACGGGTGTTTGTGGATCCCTGGTCTAAAGAACATTGACATAGCTCCCATCGGCAAAGCAAATAATGTAAAATACTACTGATACACAATTAAAGCTTTCAAAATTAAATCTAAAAAATTCAACTCAAGAGCGTGGAAACAATACGTCCACGTTCTATTCCGCGCTGAACACAGAACATCATAACTCACTGTCGTCCATTGTGGTCCATAATCCGTGTTATTCACTGCTGTTTGGTCGTGACGTATTTAATGCTCCAAATCCCGCAGAAAGAAGGACAATAACGTCTTTCACCTTGATAAAATTCAAACATTCTCTTTGTTTTGGCTATAAATCCTCGATCTGGAGAATCGTTGCAAACACAGAATGTCTGTCTTCGTCTACATCCATCTCGATGCTTTGTTTATTGTTGTTCTGTTCCACAAAAGGGACACAGACAAACGCCACCAGTTTGATGTTACGACTTCACAGCTCACAGCTGATTGGGCGGTGCACCGTCTACAACGTCCGTCTAGTGTATTCTGATTCCTGACCTAGTCGTTGTGCATCGTTGTACAAAGTTTACGATCTAAAAATAGGTCAAAATCACCACGAAATCTGACCTTTTTGGAAACTGTAGCCCCTGTCAGCCCCTGTCAGCCCCTGTCAGCCCCTGTCAGCCCCTGTCAGGTGTACATGAACAGTTTGTGATTACATTCCGCTTTTGGGAAAAATCTTTTCTGGGCAGGAGGGATTTGTTTCACTGAAGTTCCAGTTATTTTAATAAAGATAAGATCCATGATGTTTACTATGTGTTTACTGCTTTCTACATTTTATATACATACAAAAGAATCAAATATATGATGCGATATGTACGGAATTATGTCGTAAAGAAAAAAGTTAAATAACTCAACTATAAGTTTTAAATAAAAACTCAAAATCTCAGCCCTTTGCTTTGTGGACAACGCTGCAAACCCTTGGCCTTTTCTGAGCGGAGGCACTCGGTGTCGCCAGCCTGGCTAAACGATCAGTCTCAAGTGTCATCCGTTCATCGCTCGACGCCTTATTCTTCTTAAATGGAAGTGTTTTCAGGCGTCCACACAGTGCAGGATCAGATCTGTACTCGGATGAATTCGTGGAGCTGGAGGCACCAGATCGTTCCGTCTCTGGAGCCGTTTTCAGTCGGATTAGTGTGAACGAACACTGAATCTACAACGAAAACAACTCAAATACGAACTAGTGTGGAGGGGGCCTAAGTCTGTTCATTTTCCCTCTGTTCTGGAATTATGTTTTTCACTCTTGTCTTTGATCGATTCCCATCTCACTCTCTTTTTTCAAACTGGTACATGTTTATTGTGAGTAAGTGACCTGGTAGTTGTTTTTTTGTATTTTTGATTTTGTGTGTGTTTTACTCAGCTTTTTGTCTTTATTTAAATATTTTATCCTGACAATGCTGATATTTGGAAATTGCTATTAAATAAAGATTGGAAAAAAAAAAAGTGTTGTCCGTTTGTTTCACTTAATGCGCTTTATAATCCGGTGCAACTTATGAACTTAATTTATGTATGAAAATAGATGAGAGAATTCCACATTATTGATATTGCACCTTAAAGCCAAAATAATATGGTAATTGTCGTTTTGGGCAATGGGGATGAAGTGTCTTGCCAAGAGACACAATGACAGTGTGTTTTCCTTGACAAATACTTAACTCACAAGTCGCAACAGCGCGTAAACTCAGCCTGACCCCTGCTTCTCTTTCAAAAAAATCAGTAATATCAAAAAGAATCTTGGATCTGTTTTATATTTACTTGCGTTCGTACACAAAAAAGTGAGTAATTCGTGTCAAAAACGTGTTGTTCTTGGAGACTTTCATTGAGAACAGGCCAACTCCGCGCGCGTGTGTGTGTGTGTGTGTGTGTGTGAAGCCAGGACACCCCCCGCAGTCGCTCTCTAACCTCCTGATCCAGTTTTCCCGACAGATACCACTCGGATAATCGTGCCGGGACTTGCGGCGGCTGCTGCTCCCACCGGGGTTCACACTCGACTCCGTTGTTTGAATTGCAAAACAGAAACTGCTCCTTCGTTTTTTCTGGCATTTCTGGCAAATCACTGAGCGGGAAAGGAATGCGTCGGTGTCTAGTTTTTGTCAATTTTAAACCAAATCAAATCCAGATGAGTTGGAAACGCAACAAAAACGCAAGTACGGACACGGCGCTTAAAACGCAAATAAACAAAACAAATCGCTTTCGTCAACATAAAATAATAAATAGAGAAAGTGTGTTGCTGTTACCACATCAAATGTAAAACTGTCTATTCAGAATCAGCCAAGTGTGTGTGTTCCAAAGAGAAACACTCAATAGAGTTTTTGTCAACTCCAGTCATGAGGAGCCTGTTGTGACAAGGGCATCTGACTCAAGTGCCAAAATACCATAAGACTGGTTCATTGTGTCAGGAGCCAGAGTAAGAAGAAGAAGAAGAGGAAGAAGAAGAGTAATGAAGTTCTACACTGAAAATGAAGCTGTTTTTACAAGCAAAACATACAGTAAAAGTGCAGCTACGTTTGTGAAATCCCCCAAAAATGACATATTAAAGTATTTTTTTTATTAGTTTGACTCCCAGTGAAATATTTGGACACACCCTCTCAGTGTTTTCTTTTTTTTTTTCAGTGTTACTAAGCCCCGGGGCCTAAACACGGACGCCCAGTCAAGTCAATGGGCCGAGCTCAATGTCGCATGTCTCCAGATCAGCCCAGCCCGGCGAGGTCCTCCCATGGATCTGTTAAAATAACTGGATAGGGCATTGTGCTGCTGGTATCTGCCTCCAGCTGACGTAGTGGACACTTAAAGGTACTACAGAGGAAAAAAAAAACATGGGCTGAGAGAGGAATTTTCTCACAGAGAGCGATGTACCGTATTTTCCACACTATTAGTCACTCTGGATTATAAGACGCACTGTCATAGGACGGTTTACTTTCGAACTTTTTTCACAAGGGCCCAGTCAAGCAGAAGTAAACAGCAAGGCCAAAAATTCAAGTTAATGCATCTGATATAAAAATGTATTGAACAGATACATATGTACTCTAGTTTATCAAACTGTTGACCTTTTTTCTGGACCATTTTTGGTTGTAAAGTTCCATATGTTTTAAACAGACCATGTATGAAACATGGAACAAAAATTATTTCCCAAATTTCAAAGACCCAAAAATCATGTAAATAAATGGATGTATTTCATCATATCTTGTGTTATTCCATCTGTTGATGAAGGTACATGATTTTTTTTTTTTAAAGTATTTAAAATGATAAAAATTTGCTTGGAAGGACTGACATATTTTATAGAAATAGTTTCCTTTCATTTTGAAGTAATATTAAAGTATTCAGAAGAAAAAAGTGACAAATGATGTAAAATCCTGCACCTTCTACTTGTTTGTACAATTTTCCCTCCGTTACTTTTCCCTCCGTTACCATGAACTTTCTGAATAAAAAATCTCATGAGTCAAAAAGTAAGAGGTTTTTCAACCTAATCTTGTACCATATGGTAGAAAACTATATGAAGCAAATATTCAAACCAGTTTGTTAAGGATATGTAAGTGAGAACCAAGAGTTATCACTGTTTGGATTTATTGCCCAAAAAGTGCTGCATATTTCATTCCCTCCGTTACCAACATGAGTTTTTTCATTTTTTGTCTTGAACTTGAAAGAATCTCACAGGTTTAACTTGACCCTGTTGGAGTGTAACTCTTTCCTACATTCTGATACTTTACTTATTTCAATAGTCCCTCTAGTTTCTGAATAAGAGACATTTGAATGTCAAAAATCTGCTCAAATAAACCTTTAACTTTAACTCTTTCCCCCATGAAGACGACATTTGACGACCCTCCCTGTTTCCTTAATGTCGTCTTTTGTCTCCTCTGCTGTTTCACTAAAGACGTGATTTGACGACCATTAGAAACGGTTTTGGTTTTTCACATTTAAACAGAGACTGTGATAGGTGGAGCCACTAAAACCCACACTAGACTGACCAATAGGATTCAAGGATATGTTTTCGCAGACTTTTTCCAAAGTTAATCGAAGTAGTGACGATTGTAGCTTCTGGAAAAAACACAACATGAAACACGAGCAATGGAAAGATCGCGGTGCACAGTTTTAGAAATAATGAGGAACGGACGTAATTTATGGATAGGTTTAGAGAAAGTGACTTTTATAGATTTATAGAAGAAAAAAATAACTCAACTAAAGATTTTAAATAAAAACTCTTTGCTTTGTGAACAGCGCTGCAAACCCTCGGCCTTCTCTCTGTGAGTTTCATGATCAAGTCTCCTGAAATGGTTTTCACTTCACACCAGTCAGGGCCAAGAAATGCCAAAAAAAAATTATTAATTAAAAAAAATAAAATAAATAAAAATAGGGTTCAGAGTTCGTTCATAATTCATTTGTAATTCATTCATAATAAATAAATTAAAAAGGCAAAGGGTGGTTATTATTATTATTTTCAACCTGACTTTTGTGTTATTTAGAGATTATATTTTTATATTTTAGTTTATTCCATTCCGGTTGTGTTCATTCATAGTTTTGACGCCTTCAGTGAAAATAAAAAAAGAAAAGTGCGTGAAAACACACGTCCAAACATTTCGAGCTCGTGTGTGTCGTGTGTAAAGTCTTTCAGCTCTCACCAGGGACATGTTGCTGTTGCGGACGTAGTTCTCGACGCGGAGCCGGCTCTCCTCGTCTCGGTCCAGCAGCAGCCTCTCTCTCATCCTGCGGGAGTTGTTGTGCAGGACCGGTCTGCCCAGGTAATCCACGGCACCCCCTCCTACTCCTCCTCCGACCCCGACCCCGCCCCGGCCGGAGATGGTGGAGCGGCTGTCCCTGCAGTACGCCTGCTCCTGGGGGTCACATGACAACACCACAGCCTCTGGTTACTTCACATTCTCAGACGGTCACGTATGAACTTCCTTAATCAGATAAAGACTATTTATGTAGAGCCAACGCACATCTGTCAAATACTGCTGTTTATATTTGGGCCCGGTCAAGCAGAAGTAAACAACAAGGCCAAAAATTCAAGTTAATGCATCTGATATAAAATGTATTGAACAGATACATATGTACTCTAGTTTATGAAACTGTTGACCTTTTTTCTGTACCATTTTTGGTTCTCAAGTTCCATATGTTTTAAACAGACCATGTATGAAACATGGAACAAACATTATTTCCCAAATTTCAAAGACCCAAAAATCATGTAAATAAATGGATGTATTTCATCATATCTTGTGTTATTCCATCTTTGAACTGTTGATGAAGGGACAGGATTTAAAAAAAAAAAAGTATTTAAAATGATAAAAATTTGCTTGGAAGGACTGACATATTTTATAGAAATAGTTTCTTTCATTTTGAAGTAATATTAAAGTATTCAGAAGAAAAAAGTGACAAATGATGTAAAATCCTGCACCTTCTACTTGTTTGTACAATTTTCCCTCCGTTACTTTTCCCTCCGTTACCATGACCTTTCTTAATAAAAAAATCTCATGAGTCAAAAAGTCAGAGGTTTTTCAACCTAATCTTGTACCATATGGTAGAAAACTATATGAAGCAAATATTCAAACCAGTTTGTTAAGGATATGTAAGTGAGAACCAAGAGTTATCACTGTTTGGATTTATTGACCAAAAAGTGCTGCATATTTCATTCCCTCCGTTACCAACATGAGTTTTTTCATTTTTTGTCTTGAACTTGAAAGAATATCACAGTTTAACTTGACCCTGTTGGAGTGTAACTCTTTCCTACATTCTGATACTTTACTTATTTCAATAGTTCCTCTAGTTTCTGAATAAGAGACATTTGAATGTCAAAAATCTGCCCGTTTCCCTCCGTTACCACTCGACCGGACCCTTTTACATTATGGAGAGTAATGGAGCAGAAATAAAAGTGATAAAGGGCAACCTTGTCATGTACCATGCTGCATATTAATTACACTCTAAACATGATTGATTTACACATTTTTAGCTGACACTTTACAAAAAAATTACAAACATTTAAATAGTTTTTTAAATTACAGCTTATGTTAGAATCTCTTTTTTTTTTTTATTGAAATTTATTTTTATTAAGTTTAAGATATCACAGCTTGTGCATTATGGTCAGTTACAAAGCCGGTTACGTATATGTTAAAATGAACAAATGCACAGGTAAGTATTAGTATCAGTATATAGAAAAAGAACCAAAACAATAGCAATGACAGAGGCAGTTTTACATTTATCACTGGCGGCCGCGCGCAGTGATACGAACGGAAAGAAAATAGTGCCAAGCGAGGCACTAATGAGGTCTGACTTTTTAGGCGACAAATGTTTTGTGATGCAAACGTATCACTCTTTTGAACACAGAGTGTTTTGAGAAGAAAAACGCTTTATTATACAGTCCCCAGCACAACTTGTCGGACGACTCTCGTCAGCACCGAAAACGGCCAGTATCTCAGCTCACCGGACGATGCCGGGGGTAAAGTCAGTGTGGATGCACCACAGTGCTCACGGGGATGACATACAGATTTATGTCAAAAATCCCAAACTATCCCTTTAAGTTTAATTTCTGTAAAACGTAAACACATATGCGCAAAGCTGCATTAAACACATAATCTCAAAAGGGCTGACGTGGCTCTAGAGTCGTTATGGTTTAAATGTTGTAAAGTTTAGTCAAATTTATTTATGCAGAAGATTTTAATGAATAATCTGCTGCAGTGTAACTTGTACAATATTGTTTGGAAACGTTGGGTTTGATCTGCAGTGGATTGTGGGAAACCTCATGCTCCTGACGCTGGTGAAGAACATGGATCAGTTAAAATAATGAACCTCCTGAGCTTCTGCTGAAGGAGCTCATGGTTATTGTACAGTTACAGAGTTAATGCAAAGATGAACTTGTGTTGAGTTGTTTTATTTATGAATGAAAAGAAGGAAATATGTATTATTTCTTTTATTTTACAGTTAAATTATTACCTCCGCCAAGGAGGTTATGTTTTTTCCGGCGTTTGTCTGTTTGGCTGTTTGTTTGTTTGTTTGTTTGTCTGTTTGTCTGTCTGTTTATTTGTCTGTTAGCAACATAACTCAAAACGTTATGGACCGATTTTGATGAAATTTTCTGGATTTGTTGGAAATGTGAAAAGGAAGACCTGATTTCATTTTGGGGCTGATCCGGAAGAAATCCTGGATTCTGGATCACTTTGAAATTTTAGTTAACATTGTGGTAAATGGGGCCAAAAATTTTGTTTTTCAATATCTCGGTTAATTATTGATCAAACCCCATGAAGTTTGACTCAGGGATGGACAATGGGATCCTCTTTCATATTCCAAATTGAAAGATACGAGACAAATATTTATGGAAAACACAATTAATATGAGGAGGACTGTGGTCCTTGGCGGAGTCTGCGCTCTCTGACTGCTTTTCTAGTTATTTATGTAATTAGGGATTTTTTGTCATTTAAATGTGGCAGAAGCATTTTGTTCCTATATGAACTGCCTCTTGCACTTCAATTAAAAAAGACCTTGTGGAATTTGGAAGATTTGTTTTTGCAGTAGTTTTAGGGAGTTTTTCCCCCTGTACAGATATCGAGATATATATTGTATATCGAGATATAGCAAAATATATCGAGATATATTTTTTGCTTCATATTGCCCAGCCCTAGTTAAAACCATATTTCATAACATTCTCCATGTAAATCAGACATTTCAAACTCAGGCACAGGGACCAAATTTGGCCTGCGATATAATTATATTTGGCTCGTCATATCAAACATGTTTTAGAGCTGACCCGCTGGCTACAGGTGGGAACACCTCGGGGTCCCCCAGAGGAGCTGGAGGACATGTCTGGGGTGAAGGAAGTCTGGGAGTCCCTGCTTCGGCTGCTGCCCCCGCGACCCGGCGCCGGATAAGCGGATGGATGGATGGAACGTGATAGAATTTCCACACATGACACAAGACAGGCTCTACAAGAATGAGACAAGACATATTTTTCAAAGTTCCAACCATCCATTTTCTTCCTCTTATCCGGGGCCGGGTCGCGGGGGAAGGCCCGGCCACCAGGCGCTCGCTGACGAGCACCCACCCCACCGCTCCAGGGTGGGGCCCCAGTGACGCCAATCCGGGCAACGTAACTGGCCTCGTTGGTACGCTTGTCATACAGGGCTTCTGAACCGTTCTTTGTCTGACCCGTCCCCCCGGACCTGTTTGCCTTGGGTGACGCTACCAGGGGCATGAAACCCCCGACAACATAGCTCCCGGGATCATTCGGCCACTCAAACCCCTCCACCACGATAAGGTCAAGGAGGGGATTTAAAAAAAAAAATTCATTTTAAGTTATTTTTTAAAATTGTTTGTATTTATTTATTTTTTGTTTGTGGGTGTTTGTGTGGGTTGGTGGGGCTGTCAGATGTTTGTAGCTGTTTGTAGCTGTTTGTAGATGTTTGGCCCAAACTCCTGCTCCTGTCTGCTCCTCCTCATCAAGTCTTTTTGCGACTCGGTGCTGAGGAGCTCCTCTCTGTCCATCATCAGATAGACCCTTTGGGCCTATATGAAGAGACCTGCCGGGTTTAGACACAACACACCCAGCGCAGGAAAGTGCTCAGCGTGTGTTTCTTCTTCAGGGGCACTACCAGGGTGCAGTAGATTTCCTCCAGAACAGTAGAACTGAAGTCCCACTGTGCCAGAGCAGCGTGCTGGACATGGCTCTTCTCTTTGCCTTTGCACAACTCCTTGTAAACTGCAGAAGCCACGTCTTTATATCTGTTTGGTTTCACCAAAACATTCCACTCTGTCACCTGATCTTCCAGCTGTGCCAGTAGGTCCTGGGACAGACGGACACTCAGTGGGTGCAGTTCTGCCTGGAAAATCTTGGAGACGATCTCATAGACGAGCTTATTGCAGTCGTCTCTACTCCACAGCACGGGCTTTTGTGAGGTAGGAGTCTTGGGCACATCTGGAGTGGACAATTTATCCGCTCTCCCTACGGGCACCACACGCTCCAGAGGAGCCTGAGAAGGCTCAATATAGAGCGGCACTGCCCGGAGGCTTTCGTCGCTCAGGCTCCTCTCCTCCTCTCCACTGATCTTCACGGCCTCTGCTGTGGCCTCTTGGACGCTGAGGCTGGAGTTGAGAGAGAGACTTTTAGAGGCAGAGGCTGGACTGGAGGTTTTCATAAAGCTTCCAGAGCTGCTCACACGGCTCAGTCTGGGTGTGAGAGGGTCAGCTCTGGGCTGCTCCTCTTCACTCTCCGCTACATCAGAGGAGTCCTGCTGCTCAGAGAAGATGCAAGGGGCACATCGCCTCAGTGTCCGTGTGGGCTTCCTGCACCGACTGCTGGGCTGGGCTTTCTCCTCTGTGCTCTGCTGCATAACTTCAGGGGTCTGTGGTGTGGATCTGAGCCTCTCAGTGTTGCTGGAGGCTCTCTGCTCCATGGTGTCCATCTCCTTTGTGGTGAATGTGTCGATGGTGGAGGCCGTTTGGAGGCTCTCGCTCAGGCTAATCTCAGTAACTTGCTCCTGGGTCTCGGTTGGTGTACAGGGCGTGTTAGCTGTAAAACAGCCACCACAGCCCCGTCCCACCCTGTCTCTAAAAGAGCGCAACATCTGTCTGGCGTGTCGGACCAGATCCTTCATGCGCTCTTTTGTCGGTCTATATAAAGTCTCCTTCGGGACCACGAGGCGCCTGTTCTGCACTTGGCTGTGGCTCAGTGCAGAGTTGATGTTACTTGTCACCTCTGCAATCAGCCCTTGGCAGACAGTGTTCACAGACTGGTGCGATTCACCCAGCACTGCCTGGAAACTTTCAGTGAGGCTGACCTGAACAGCTTTTTCGACTGCTTGCTCAGTCACCAGCAGGGGGTGCTCTCGCACACGTCCATCTACCACTATGCTCCTGAAGGCCTCCAGGATGAGGTTGGAGAGGGTAGTGATCACCTCCAGGAACATCTGTGCCAGGACCTCCCTGGACTCACGCTGTCCCACGTCTGCAGCTCTGTCCCAGTAGTTGGTCACCAGGGACTGCACCTGTTCTATGGGGATGGACGGGATGAGGTCGTTCAGAGGAGAGTGGACTGCTGCATTAACGTCAGACTCAGCAGACCTCTGCTCCTCTGGGCTGGATCTATTCTTCTCCATCGTAGTATCGTAGTCTAAAAAAGTGTTTCAGTGAACTCGGCTGGAAACTCGATAAATATGTTTTTGACACAACCTTACACACTCTGTTTGCTTTGAGTCAAAGTGTTCAGTGAAATCACAAAGCTTTGAGCTTTGAAATTGAACTTTAAAATTGAGCTTTGAAATTGAGCTTTGAAATTGAACTTTGAAATTGAGCTTTGAAATTGAGCTTTGAAATTGAGCTTTGAAATTGAGCTTTGAAATTGAGCTTTGAAATTGAACTTTGAAATTGAGCTTTGAAATTGAGCTTTGAAATTGAGCTTTGAAATTGAAATTGAGCTTTGAAATTGAACTTTGAAATTGAGCTTTGAAATTGAGCTTTGAAATTGAGCTTTGAAATTGAGCTTTGTAGATTCTAGAATGTGATGATGTCATCATTCCTGTTGATCACATTTCATTTTGTCATGAAGTGAAACAAACAATAAACAACGAAGTGTAGCCAACGATAATTTCGCTGTGGTGTCATGTGACCTGTGGTGACTGTTTGTCACATGACACCACAGATCACATGACATCACAGGTCACATGACACGGGTCATGTGACACCCCGGGGAAGTGTAGCCAGCATTGTTTCTGTGTTTGTTTGAATGTTTCTTTGTTTATTGTTTGTTTGGTTGGGGCTGTGCTCTATGTACTAGTTTAAAACAATGTTTCTTTTGTTCTCTGTACATCGGCCGTCCTCTTATAGCTCCAACAAACACTGGGGATTCAGTTTGTGTGCGCTTCCTATCGGCTCCATTTGCATGATATTGGCTTCTTGAAAAACTGCACCAAAGCCACAGCACTGCTCCAACAACAGCAGGTCGTCCAACCTCGAGGTCCCAGAGGCAAGTGAAGAAGAGTCACACAGGGCTGGATCCCTCATGGAGGAGGTTACAGGTTACAGCATTTGGCCCATGAGATTATATCAAATCTGTATCAGAGCTGCCCACCGGCTACAGACAGACTACAGAGACATGATTTATTTAAAATGTTGTTATTATTTTATATTTTGTTTGTTCTGGATTCAATGTTTAAGCAAAACTATTATTAAACATTTATTTTAATAAGAAAATGTTGTTGACATTTTTCAATAAATATTTAGTTTGGCCCACGACTTAGTCCCAGTTTTTAATTTTGGCCTCTGCAAATTTGAGTTTGACACCCCTAATGTAGATGTTTAAATTTTATGCCAGATTATGGAATATTATCAGCAAATCCATGCAAACACGTAGGAGAAGGCCCTCTTATGAGTCAGGTTTATGGAGATGCAAGCCCACTCACAGTAAGACACGTGTGTTTCTGTGTTAGTGCCACAAAACCAACAAAAACAACTTGCTTTATTATATAGTATTTCTTTGGCTAGAAAGTTACATACTATGGCTTTGACTAGACTGCAAAAAGTAATATTTAGTTAAGTTAAAATGACTTAAATTAAGAACTTTTGACTTTATTTGAGTCGATTCAACTTGACAAGTCAAATGATCAAAGTGTATTTTCCTTAATTCAAGCAACATTTCATTTTGTTTCACATTTTAAGTACAAAAAGTCTTATAATTTTGCAGATATTTTTTTCTTGTCAAGTGAAATTTACTCAAGTCATGATAAAACTTTATTAATTCAAGTCATCTTAACTTGACTGGATTTTATTTTTTGCACTGTAATGCCAAGTGCTGAAATGACTTTGAATGGATCGATCATCTGTATAAAAATTTTAATAGGATAAAAACAAAATAAATAAATAAATAAATAATAATAATAACTAAATTAAATAAATAAATCAAATAAATAATCTAAATAAATAAATAAAATTAAATAAAAAATAATTATAGCTTTGTAAAAAACTGCACTATTAGACAAAAATAAAAATGGATGCACTACATTGAGACTGGGGCATGCAGCTCAGAGGGCGGCTCAGAACTTGGCTGATTGGCATGCAGACAGTAAAGCCTCTCTCCCCGGCCCCGGGCCCACATGCACAGTTACATAGAGACTGACCCCGAGGGACGACAGGCTGGTCCTCAGGGTGCCCTCCACCCGCAGCGGGATGTTCTCCTCCGTCTGTAAGCACAAGAGCAGCCGCCACATCAGCAACACAGAACATCAACAAAACAGAACATCAACAACACAGAACATCAACAAAACAGAACATCAACAAAACAGAACATCAACAACACAGAACATCAACAAAACAGAACATCAACAAAACACAGAACATCAACAACACAGAACATCAACAAAAAACAGAACATCAACAACACAGAACATCAACAAAACAGAAATCAGCAACAACAGAACATCAACAAACACAGAACATCAACAACACAGAACATCAACAAAACAGAACATCAACAACACAGAACATCAACAACACAGAACATCAACAACACAGAACATCAACAAAACAGAACATCAACAAAACAGAACATCAACAAAACAGAACATCAACAAAACAGAACATCAACAAAACAGAACATCAACAAAACAGAACATCAACAAAACAGAACATCAACAACACAGAACATCAGCAACACAGAACATCAACAACACAGAACATCAACAAAACAGAACATCAACAACACAGAACATCAACAAACAGAACATCAACAAAACAGAACATCAACAACACAGAACATCAACAAAACAGAACATCAACAACAACAACACAGAACATCAAACAGAAACAGAACATCAAACAAACACAGAACATCAACAACAACAGAACATCAACAAACAAAAACAGAACATCAACAAAACAGAACATCACAACACAGAACATCAACAACAACACAGAACATCAAACAAAACAGAACATCAACAAAACAGAACATCAACAATACAGAACATCAACAAAACAGAACATCAGCAACACAGAACATCAACAACACAGAACATCAACAACACAGAACATCAACAAAACAGAACATCAACAAAACAGAACATCAACAACACAGAACATCAACAAAACAGAACATCAACAAAACAGAACATCAACAACACAGAACATCAACAACACAGAACATCAACAAAACAGAACATCACAACAACACAGAACATCAAACAACACAGAACATCAACAACACAGAACATCAACAAACAGAACATTCAAACAAACAGAACATCAACAACACAGAACATCAACAAAACAGAACATCAACAACACAGAAACAACACAGAACATCAACATAACACAGAACATCAACAACACAGAACATCAACAACACAGAACATCAACAAAACAAAACATCAACAACAAAACAGAACATCAACAAAACAACACAGAACATCAAACAAAACAGAACATCACAAAACAGAACATCAACAACACAGAACATCACAACACAGAACATCACAACACAGAACATCAACAAAACAGAACATCACAAACAAGAACATCAACAAAACAGAACATCAACAACACAGAACATAACAACAAAAACAGAAATCAACAAAAGAACATCAACAAACACAGAACATCACAACACAGAACATCAAAACAGAACACACAACACAGAACATCAACAAAACAGAACATCACAACAGAAACAACAGAACATCAGAACCAACACAACAAACAGAACATCAACAAAACAGAACATCAACAACAGAAACACAGCAACACAGAACATCAACAAAACAGAACATCAACAACACAGAACATCAGCAACACAGAACATCAACAAAACAGAACATCAACAACACAGAACATCAACAACACAGAACACAACAACAAAACAGAACATCAACAACACAGAACACACAACACAGAACATCAACAAAACAGAACATCAAACAGAACATCAACAAAACAGAACATCACAACACAGAACATCAGCAACACAGAACATCAACACAGAACACACAAACAGAACATCAACAAAACAGAACATCAACAACACAGAACATCAACAAAACAGAACATCAACAACACAGAACATCAACAAAACAGAACATCAACAACACAGAACATCAACAAAACAGAACATCAACAAAACAGAACATCAACAACACAGAACATCAACAAAACAGAACATCAACAAAACAGAACATCAGCAAAACAGAACATCAACAACACAGAACATCAACAACACAGAACATCAACAAAACAGAACATCAACAAAACAGAACATCAACAAAACAGAACATCAACAAAACAGAACATCAACAAAACAGAACATCAACAAAACAGAACATCAACAAAACAGAACATCAACAAAACAGAACATCAACAAAACAGAACATCAACAAAACAGAACATCAACAAAAACTGTGCTCTTCATCAGGCTTCGTCTGTATGTCACGTCTGTCAGATCGGCTCAAGAACCAAATTTTCTTGCATATGGATCCGGTCAAGCAGAAGTAAACAACAAGGCCAAAAATTCAAGTTAATGCATCTGATATAAAAATGTATTGAACAGATACATATGTACTCTAGTTTATGAAACTGTTGACCTTTTTTCTGTACCATTTTTGGTTCTAAAGTTCCATATGTTTTAAACAGACCATGTATGAAACATGGAACAAAAATTATTTCCCAAATTTCAAAGACCCAAAAATCATGTAAATAAATGGATGTATTTCATCATATCTTGTGTTATTCCATCTTTGAACTGTTGATGAAGGGACATGATTTAAAAAAAAATATATTTTAAAATGATAAAAATTAGCTTGGAAGGACTGACATATTTTATAGAAACAGTTTCTTTTCATTTTGAAGTAATATTAAAGTTTTCAGAAGAAAAAAGCGACAAATTATGTAAAATCCTGCACCTTCTACTTGTTTGTACAATTTTCCCTCCGTTACCATGACCTTTCTTAATAAAAAAATCTCGTTACTCAAAAAGTAAAAGTACCTAATCTTGTACCATATGGTAGAAAACTATATGAAGCAAATATTCAAACCAGTTTGTTAAGGATATGTAAGTGAGAACCAAGAGTTATCACTGTTTGGATTTATTGCCCAAAAAGTGCTGCATATTTCATTCCCTCCGTTACCGACATGAGTTTTTTAATTTTTTGTCTTGAACTTGAAAGAATCTCACAGGTTTAACTTGACCCTGTTGGAGTGTAACTCTTTCCTACATTCTGATACTTTACTTATTTCAATAGTTCCTCTAGTTTCTGAATAAGAGACATTTGAATGTCAAAAATCTGCCTGTTTCCCTCCGTTACCGCTTGACCGAACCCTTATTTATTTATTTAATGAGACATTTGAGAGATGTTTTGTACCAGGTTGTCGTCCCTGTCGTCCCTGGGCAGTTTTTAATCCGATCGGTTGTGTTTAAGTGAATAATCCGTTAAATTCGTTTTGGTGTTTGTGAGACGTACCGCTCCTCGGGCGTCTGTGCTGACCGAGTTCATCCTCCTGATCGAGGCCTGACGAGAGAGAGTGCTGATCTCCTGCCTGTCACAAAACACACACACACACACACACGTAAGATGAAAATACACAAAAATAAATAATAATGAAATTCAAGGTCCTGTGTTACCATTCCGTGACTTTTTCATGAGCTAAAGTGGATTTTCCATGACTTTACGGCTCCTACATGTGCAGAATTGATCAGACTTTTAGGTTTAAATCTGAAATATTAACTCTTTCCACTCACTTTATGGTTTGGGATTATAGTTTTTAAACATTCTAAATCCTGTCAGTGCGTTTATTGTCGTCTCTTTTAAACAAAAGATGCAGAAGTTCACAAATAATCAGAAACACTCTAATGAGAACGCTGTGAAAGAGAGACTAAAATTGCATGACTTTTCCAAAACTTTCAGTGAATTTACAAAAATCCATGATGTTTTCAGGCTTGGACAATGACAATTTCAATTTCCATGACTTTCCAGGATTTCCATGACCGTGGGAACCCTGTTTAAGTCTTGTTTTAATGTTGTTTCCTCGTCAAAAACAGAGCTGGAGTTGTGTTTTGTTGAGTAACTTTTTATCATTAGTCTGTTTACATCTCCAAAACTCAAAATGTTCCACCTTGTGATGTCACAGTTTTTAGACCTGGTTTAGTCCTGGTTCAGTTCTGTTTTATCCTGTTTTAGTCCTGGTTTCTGGTTAGTCCTGGTTTAGTCCTGGTCCTGGTTCAGTTCTGTTTTAGTCCTGGTTAGTTCTGTTTTAGTCCTGGTTTAGTTTCTGTTTAGTCCTGTTTAGTCCTGGTTAGTAGTCCTGTTGTTTTAGTCCTGGTTTAGTCCTGGTTTCAGTCCTGGTTCAGTTCTGGTTTAGTCCTGTTTTAAGTCCTGGTTTAGTCCTGGTTCAGTCCTGGTTTAGTTTAGTCCTGGTTAGTTAGTCCTGTTTAGTCCTGGTTTAGTCCTGGTTTCTGTTTTAGTCCTGGTTTAGTCCTGGTTTCAGTCCTGGTTTAAGTCCTGGTTTAGTCCTGGTTTAGTTCAGTCCTGGTTTAGTCCTGGTTTAGTCCTGGTTTAGTCCTGGTTTAGTCCTGGTTTTAGTCCTGTTTTAGTCCTGGTTCAGTTTGTATGCGGCGCAAAAATCCGGCATTTCAGTTTAAGTCACGGAAACTGAAAAAAAAACTGAAAAAAACAAATCTTTCATTTTGGTTTTGGAGACAAATAACGAATTTTCTTTTTCTTATTTTCGTTTTTATTTTGAAAAACGAACAAACGACACACGGATTGTGAAGACCGAACGATTTGCAAAAAGCATCGAATTGCAATGTTTCCAACAAGACTTTGACTTTTCTGATTGGTTGGTAGTTTATAAATTCTGGTTTATAAGTTTATAATTGGATTTTGTGGTTGGACTCGGGCAGAAGTTGTGACATGTGTCCTGGTAATTCCATAAGTATGTTGCAACCATAAAGTAAACAAGCACCGAAACGTGTTTATTACACAACAGCTCCGACGAGACGCACAAAAACACACGACACCTTTACTCTGTCAACGACGTGTGAACAAAACTCATCTGGACGTGTTTTGTCTTGGTGGTTAATTTGACTAATATTTCTACACGAGTCATTGACAGACACTAAACCAGGTCTAAACCAGGTCTAAACCAGGTCTAAACCAGGTCTAAACCAGGTCTAAACCAGGACTAAACCAGGACTAAACCAGGTCTAAACCAGGTCTAAACCAGGACTAAACCAGGACTAAACCAGGTCTAAACCCAGGTCTAAACCAGGACTAAACCAGGTCTAAACCAGGACTAAACCAGGTCTAAACCAGGTCTAAACCAGGTCTAAAACCAGGTCTAAACCAGGTCTAAACCAGGACTAAACCAGGTCTAAACCAGGCTAAACCAGGTCTAAACCAGGACTAAACCAGGTCTAAACCACTAAACAGGTCTAAACCAGGACTAAACCAGGACTAAACCAGGTCTAAAACCAGGTTCTAAACCAGGACTAAACCAGGTCTAAACCAGGTCTAAACCAGGTCTAAACCAGGACTAAACCAGGTCTAAACCAGGACTAAACCAGGTCTAAACCAGGTCTAAAACCAGGTCTAAACAGGTCTAAACCAGGTCTAAACTAAACCAGGTCTAAACCAGGTCTAAAACCAGGTCTAAAACCAGGTCTAAACCAGGTCTAAACCAGGTCTAAACCAGGACTAAAACCAGGTCTAAACCTAAAAGGTCTAAACCAGGTTCTAAAACCAGGACTAAAACCAGGTCTAAACCAGGTCTAAACCAGGTCTCTAAACCAGGTCTAAACCAGGTCTAAACCAGGTCTAAACCAGGTCTAAACCAGGACTAAACCAGGTCTAAACCAGGACTAAAAACCAGGTCTAAACCAGGTCTAAAACCAGGACTAAACCAGGTCTAAACCACCAGGTCTAAAACCAGGTCTAACCCAGGACTAAACAGGTCTAAACCAGGACTAAACCAGGACTAAACCAGGTCTAAACCAGGACTAAACCAGGTCTAAACCAGGTCTAAACCAGGTCTAAACCAGGTCTAAACCAGGTCTAAACCAGGTCTAAACCAGGTCTAAACCAGGTCTAAACCAGGTCTAAACCAGGTCTGTCAGAAACATCTTCCTTGTGAATCGCGTGGTCGTTTTGTCTGGAGTTTTCCGTGTCATCGCGACTTCCTGTCACTTTTTTTTCCCACAAACCGTCACGTCTTCAGTCGTGTGAAACGATGACAAATATTTACCACGAGAATTTGATAAACATGAAAACACGACAGATGAGAGTTAAAGGTCTCAGATGACACCGTTTGATGATCTGTTCTAATGTCATTTCCTCTTTTACACCTGGTTTAGTCCTGGTTTAGACCTGGTTTAGTCCTGGTTTAGTCCTGGTTTTAGACCTGGTTTAGACCTGTTTAGTTTTAGACCTGGTTTAGTCCTGGTTTAGACCAGTCTGGTTTAGACCTGGTTTAGACTGGTTTAGACCCTGGTTTAGACCTGGTTTTAGACCTGGTTAGACCTGGTTTAGTTTGGTTTAGTCCTGGTTTAGTTCCTGGTTTAGACCTGGTTTTAGACCTGGTTTTAGACCTGGTTTAGACCTGGTTTAGACCTGGTTTAGACCTGGTTTAGTTGGTTCCTAGTTTACTGGTTTCTGGTTTAGACCTGGTTTTAGACCTGGTTTAGACCTGGTTTAGTCCTGGTTTAGTCCTGGTTTAGACTGGTTTAGTCTGGTTTAGACCTGGTTTAGTCCTGGTTTTAGTCCTGGTTTAGTCCTGGTTTAGTCCTGGTTTAGTCCTGGTTTAGACCTGGTTTAGTCCTGGTTTAGAGTCCTGGTTTAGAGTCCTGGTTTTAGTCCTGGTTTAGTCCTGGTTTAGACCTGGTTTATCCTGGTTTAGTCCTGTTAGTCCTGGTTAGTCCTGGTTTAGTCCTGGTTTAGTCCTTTAGTCCTGGTTTAGTCCTGGGTTTAGTCCTGGTTTAGTCCTGGTTCAGTCCTGGTTTAGTCCTGGTTTAGTCCTGGTTTAGTCCTGGTTTTAGACCTGGTTCAGTCCTGGTTTAGTCTGGTTTAGTCCTGGTCAGTTTCCTGGTTTAGTCCTGGTTTAGTCCTGGTTTAGTCCTGGTTTAGTCCTGGTTTAGACCTGGTTCAGTCCTGTTTAGACCTGGTTTTTAGTCCTGGTTCAGTCCTGGTTTAGTCCTGGTTTAGTCCTGGTTTAAGTCCTGGTTTAGTCCTGGTTTAGTCCTGGTTCAGTCCTGGTTCAGTCCTGGTTTAGTCCTGGTTTAGACCTGGGTTAGTCCTGGTTTAGTCCTGGTTTAGACCTGGTTTAGTCCTGGTTAGTCCTGGTTTAGTCCTGGTTAGTCCTGGTTTAGTCCTGGTTTAGTCCTGCTGGTTTAGTCCTTTAGTCCTGGTTTAGTCCTGGTTTAGTCCTGGTTTAGTCCTGGTTTTAGTCCTGGTTTAGTCCGGCACTGCAGTTTAAGTCACGGAAACGGGAAACTGAAAAAAAAGCGAATCGTTTTTGGAGACAAATAATGATTAAAAATTGTTGTTTTTTCATTTTCTTATTTTTGGTTTTATTTTGAAAAACAAACAAACGAATGACACACGGATTATGAAGACGAAAAGCGTCAGATTGCAATTTTTCCAACCAGAATTTGACTCGATTCGATTCAAAAACAAGAATCTAAACTATGAGCTCAACAGTTTTTACGCAGGATCATTTGTCGAGGAAATGACGATATTTAAAAAAAAAACAAAAAAAGAACTGCAGCCTTTGCGGTTTGTTAATGGCTCAAACTGAGAATGAGTTCAGATGATGATCCACTCTGCAGCGCTCGCACAAATATAAAAACACTGAGGTCATTTCAGAAGTGTCACTCGCATTTCCTCTAAACCCACTTATCTGATTCTGAGTATTTATGAGTATTTCTGCGTCGCCATGACAACAGAGCGCAGAATGTTTAGATAAATAAACATTCAGACTGCAGCTTGAAGTGACCCAAATCAGATTTTTTGGCCCCTATGTTCCTGTATTGGTCTGGGCGATATGGATCAAAAAATATATCTCGATATATTTTGCTATATCTCGATATACGATATATATATATATACATCTCCATATATGTTCAAGAAAAAATAACCCCTAAAACTGAAAACTGCAAAAACAAATCTGCCAAATTCCACAAGGTCTTTTTTTTTTAATTGAAGTGTAAGAGGTCAGCAGTTCATACAGGAACATTTAAGATTACAAAAAAAATTACATAAATATAATTTAACTGTAAATAAAGTAAACATATTTTCTTCTTTTCATCATAATAACAACTCAACACAAGTCATCTTTTGTATTAACTCTGTTATCCAAACCAGAACAGAACCATGAGCTCATTTAGCAGAAGAAACAGGATGTTCCTTATTTCAACAGATCCATGTTATTATCCAGCGTCAGGATCTGAGGTTTAATCCCACAATCCACTGCAGATCAAACCCAACGTTTAAAACACTGTTGTACAAGTGACACTGCAGCAGATTATTAATTAAAATATCTGCATAAATAAACTTTACATGACTAAACTTTACAATATATAAGCATAAGGACTGTAGAGCCACATCAGCCTGTTTGAGATAATAATGTGTTTAATGCAGTTGTTGCGCACGTGTGTTTTACATTTTACAGAAACGAAACTTAAGCTCATGGCTCATTTGCATAAACAGCTCTTCTCACGCAGCTCAACTCGTTCAGCTTCTTTCGGGCTAAAGGACGCGACTCAGTGGAACATGAAGATGTGCTGCTGGTGGTTTTGTCTGTAAATGATGAAAAGGTTCGTGGTGCTTGAAGCTTTTCACTGGCACCAACTTGGGCGTTCAGACGACAGTGGGAGAGAAGGAGACATGAGCGACACAAATCAGGGAGGTGGAGGCGACGAGAAAGAAGATAAACAAGTGAAGCGGCGAAATCAAATTTAATCTAGCATTATATCGATATATACGATATGTCAATTCATATCGAGTTTAAAAACTATCTCGATATATTTAAAATATCGATATATCGCCCACCCATATTCCTGTATCTGATCTTTTTAATGTTCATCTGAACGACACAGATCAGATTTTTTCAATGTGACCCAGGAACTTGGATATGTGCTCCTGAAACTGAGTACATATCTGATCTTTAACATGTGACTTCAGTCTGAACGGCCAAAGTGCATTCATCCACAATACGTGTTCGTTCGTTCATTCGTTTTTCAATATAAAACCAAAAATAGAAACGAAAAAACAACAGTTTTCTTTCATTATTTGTCTCCAAAACCAAAATTAAAAACAGATAATGTCATTTTTTCAGTTTTTCAATTTTGTGTTTAAATGAAAATGGGAAAAAACGGATAATATTTTTTTTTGTTTACGTGACTCAGTGACTGTGATGCCGGAATTTTGCACCGCGTAGGAACCAGGACTGATCAGGTCCGAAACAGAGCGGGACCAGAGCGGAACTGAGACCAGTGGTCCGAGCGGTTCTGTGTCATCATCTGCGCGCTGGTTTCCGGGGAAAGTGAGAATGTTCTTGTGGACTACAGGTCCGGACGGGCTGCTCCAGTCTCCACGCTCAAGAACCACGGCTGGTTCTGAGGTGGAGCAAAACATCCGACTGACGCTTTCACACCAACGAAAACGAACCGAACTAAGAGCTTTTGGTTCAAATGGACCAGTCGGGACCAGACCAGGACCAGACGGGATCAGCCGGGACCAGAGCGGGCCTCCGGTCAGTCTGTATGCAGTGCAAAAAGTTCGGTTCGCAGTCATGAAGTCACGTAACGGGAAACGGTTGTTATCAATTTTTTCCATTCTTTCATTTAAACACAAAATCGAAAACTGAAAAAACTAATCATTATCTGTTTTTTTCATTTTGGTTTTGGAGACAAATAATGAAGAAAACTGTTGTTTTTTCGTTTTTCTATTTTTGGTTTTATATAGAAAACAAATGAATGAACGATACACAGATTATCACCTACACGTTTCAAAAGCCACAAATATCGCTGAGTAGGTGAAATTGATAATGAACTCTGTGTGACTGAAGTGAAGCACATCCACTCCAGCTACGTCTCCACATCCTAAACACCACGACCAAAAACCTCGTCCTTCTTTGTTCAAGTTGTTCATGTTCTGGCTCCGGTACGAGAGGAACTTTAAAATCTCCAGGTGCTCGATGCTGCGTCCATGTTTGGACAACTTCTGTAAACACAGAGACGCTCGCTGCGGTTGACGTCGGGTGTCTCCAGTGTCACATGTGGGACACTTTTAAAGTTCACACTGGAGTCACACACAAGTCACATTTAACTGGAAATGTGAACGACCTCGAAAAAACATTGGATTTCACAAAAAAATGGAATTGAGAGTTAAGTCCTGCAGTTGAACGTAGACTTAGTCTGCGTTCAGACTGCAGCCTGAAGTGACCCAAATCCGTTTTTTTGGCTTCTATGTTCCTGTATCTGATCTTTTATTGACAGTCTGAACCACACAGATCTGATTTTTCAAATGTGACCCAGGACACTTAGGCTACAATTTTGGGCAGGAAATTAATTCCTTCCTCACAAAAATCTCACGCGGACAAAACTGGCAAAATAAATTCTATAAGTTACAGTTTTTTACAGTTTTTATCCGATCTCCTGGCGTCTACTTTGTCGACCTCGTGGGCACGATTCCTGCCGCCTCGTCCCCGGCCTTTCCTCGCCTCTTTGCCACAACTTTCCTCTTACGAAATAAAAAAAATGGAAGCAGTTTTTAGAAGTTTTGGTAATATTACTTCAGTTTGGCAAGTGGGAGGAAGCAGCTACGATCACTGAGTGTGTTTACCTGCACATCAGTGTCCCGGTTATGATTGGGTTTTTGAGTATCCCGGTTTCTAGTTTCCCGAATAAGACAGTATCCCAGTTATGAGAAACCGCGATACTGTCTCGGTACACTATCTCGGTGCGATATTTTCACGATATACATCTCACGGTACGATATTTATTGCGATATTTTGTGGAAGCTGCGAACAAAACTGTTAAAATTCTTCTTTTTCCTCTAAAAATGCCTCGACAAGACTTAATCCAAAGAACTAAGAGTTAAAAGTGTTAGAACTGTTATTTCTTCTTGTCGTCTGCACTGAAATGGAGCAAAGGATCATGGTCTATGTAGTTCCCTCTGTCTTTTTTTTTATCTATTTCTGCACCAAAACTCTCAATTTAATCAAAGAGACTTGTAATTCGATATATTGTGATGGTCCACGATATTATTGTGAGAACTTTGACGATACGACATCACCATATTTCGGTTATTGTGATTGAAACAAATAAACGCCCCGGATATTATTTATTTTTATTTTACAGTAACTTGAAAACTACCGCTTCATTTTGAGCATTTTGAGTTTTGGAAGATGTGGACGGGAGATGTTGTTGGCGATAATAACTCTGACAAAATCTAGAAAAACTGAAAAAATGTCCCGGTTTTCTTCATCTACATGTCCTTGTTTTCTTTTGTTTTTCCTTTTTTATAAATTGCCTATTAATTTGTGTGTTATAATTTGTCTAATTTGATAAAAAAGACGTCATTGTAGTGTTCCTCTAAACCTTCTTATCTGACTCTGAGCGTTTATGCGTCGGGCGTGTTAAGCGGGAGCGTGACGCGTACGTACTTCTTCTCGGTGAGTTCCCTCTTGAGCTTCTGGTTGCTGCGTTTGTGGTGGCAGGTCACGCTGATGATGACGACGAGCATGAGGAGAAGAAGACCGCCGGCCGCCGCCCCCACCACGATCATCAGGAAGTTCTCCATGGGCCAGTCCTGCTTCTGCGCCTCTGTACAAAAACAAGAAAAAGAGGACAACATGAGACCTTAAAAGCGGACACATCGTGCAAAATTTACCATGTTCTAGATGTTTTTTACCCTCTAGGATTCGGGTCCTTGTACCATTCTTTCTTTTGAATTTCTTTTTCTAAATTTTTTTATTTTTTTTAATTTATAATTTGTCAAGTTTGAGGGATTGGATACCCAGAACATCCACAACAAGACAGACTGAACTAAACACGCATACAAAAAATAATAACAATAATAATAACAAATAATAACAAATAATAATAATAAAATAATAATAATAAAAAAAATAATAATAA